TTTACAAGCAGTCAATGCTGTTATGTTTAATGATAGTTGGAAATTAATGATAAACGTAAACATTAAAATATTGCTATCATTATTTAATAACATTGATGGTTTATCAATAATTTTAAATTATTTGCTATATTTTAATATAACTGAGTATTTTTTAATCTGTGGAAGTAACGTATAACTCCTGCAAGGCTAGATTTTTTACTTTGTTTCTGTAAAAACTTTCAGAGTTCTCGACTAACTCTTTTTAGGTATTTAACGACTTTGAAGAAGGCTTGATTTCTTTCGCCCCCACTTACAAATACGACACTTACTCTGACGATTATGACACGTCTGAGAAATGCCGCATTCCAGCTTGGACTGATCGAGTGCTCTGGTGGGAAAGGATTTTCAGCGATCGACCAAAACCGGATCCTTGCCAACAAAAAGCCTGCAAATTGTTGCTATATGCTCGCGCTGAATTGAAGACCTCTGATCATCGGTGCGTACTCCATTGCGCTGTGTGAACGTTTTTCTTTCATTTCATCATCGAAGGATCAGCTGTTCCCTTAATTATAATATAACAAATCCCTATGTGTTGATTATTCTCGTTCTATTCTATTCACATCTATGCACAATTATTCATTTTACATAACCGCTTCTCTTTTTGGGTCGCGTAGGCAGACGGTCACTCAGTGCTTTCAACGTTCCTGATCCTGTTTCTGTCTCAGCTTAGGCAGAAGACAACCGGAGTCTAGAGCGGGCTTGTTCCATGTACTTCCACCTGGTTAATCTTGGTCGTCTCCTTAACCTTCTGTCAATCGACTGGGCCAGAAGTAATTGTTTCCTGTACCTTCCTGGATGCATTCGTAATATATCGCAACTGTGACTCAGTTGATGAAGCAGCGGCGTACACTAGGGCTCCCACGGATGTTTGTATTCCGGAACATGTCGAGACGCGGTCTCAGAAAGACCATTTCAGCTGCTTGCACTCGGCATCGAAGTTTTTCATTCATGCTCCACGATTCAAGACCGTAGGTAAGCATGGGGGATGAAGATCGACTTGAACACTGACAGCTTAGTTTTCAGACTGAGTTCTGCTTTAGTCACAATGGGTCGGGCTAATTCACGCAGAACGCCACTGGCTACTCTAATTTGTCGGTTGATCTCTTCCTCCAATTTTCCATCACTAGTAAATATAGTTTCCAGGTACTTGAACTTCTCCACCTGCTCCACTGCCTCTCCGTTAATCTGAAGAGAGCAGCGAGCAGGAGAACGAGAAAGCACTAGACTTTTCATGCATACCGCCCAGTCGTTCATACACATACCGGTCTAGTCGCACTCCGCTGCGAACCTTTCTAGGATGCGCTGTAGATCAGTTTCAGAAGATGCCAGTGAAACAAGGTCGTCTGCAAACAGCAACCTTCTCGTCTCGACATCTCCTCTGCTCGCACACTTATCGTTTTGGCTGCGCCTGCCTATTCTGTCTGTGTGCAACACAGCAGGAGAGGGGCAGAATGCGACTTTGGCGGAGACGAGTGCTAACGCTGGAGGTTCTCGAATTAAAGCCATTTTCTCTGACGCCGCCTCTGATCTCAACATATGGGGGTTTAATGGCCCCTAGCAACTGGCCATCGATCCTATGTGTTTGCAGACATGCCCATGTATTCTCGCGCGGGATCCGGTCATAGGTTTTCTCTAAGTCCAAAGGGCACACATAAATCGAATGGGCGAACTCCCACGATTTCTTAACAATCTGGATAGAGCAAATATCCGGTTAGATGTGCTTCAACCTAGCCGCATGCTGCACTGCTCTTGTCTCTTGGAGTCACTTACTCCGCGACAAGACCGTTCTACAATCTTTGCGTAGATTTTTCCTGCGAGGCTCGATGGGGTGATATCTTTGGGTCTTCCTTCTTGAACAAGGGTACTCCAACTTCCTTTCTCTACTCTGCTGGTGTCTTCCCCGTAGCCATTGCAGACAGTGTTAGCCACCATATGTATTGTTCGCCTATTTTTTGGAGTATTTCAGGGCGGATTTCATCAGCTGCAGCAGCTTTTCCGCGTAAGCCCTTCATAGCTTGCGATTTCATGTACAAAAGTGGTGATATCCGTTTCCTGCTGCTCTACAGGCGAGGCTTCCGGCGGGTTCCCGTGGTTAAGGCGTTTCTCAAAGTAATCTCTCCATTGCCGAAGAATGTCCTTATCCTCGGTAAGAAGGTGTTCAGACCTGCCCTTTAAGTCTCTTTAACTGCCCTACCTTTCACCTGAGATCCGGTGGACGCTCTGCCAGATACCTTGTTTGCCGTCTGGAAATTCGACTCCAACACTTTACCGAACTTCTCCCAGGAATCAGCTTTGACTTTCATCACTTTTTTTTTTCGCTGCCGCCTGCGCGCTTTAGCAGATTGCACGCGAGTTGCAGGCTCTTTGTTTCCAAACTATTTCTCCAATGCAATCTTTTTCTCATCCAGCGCTAGCTGTAGCTCTCATGTAAACCAGTAAGGGCTTTTCTGACCTCCAGGCGGCAGGCAAGCCCGGCCGAATCCTCAGCATTCGGCCGCCGCCTGGAGTGTACCGCTGTTAAAGAGCTGCCCCTCAGTTTCAACATCAGTTGTCATCACCGGGATCTGTTCAAATCGTCGTGCGATGTTGTTTGCAAATTTCGCTCTCGTGTCCACCATAGATCATGTTTCCTATTTGTTTCTCTGGTTGCTTCTGCTACCAGATCTGTTGCTTACAGCGCAGCCCGTCAACAACAAGGTGATGATCAGTTGATAGCTCTACGCCTCTCTTAACGCTAACATCCACTGCTGAGCGTCTTGAGTCAGGCGATACGA